TTACCGTGCAGTCCTTGCGACACGATCTCAAGCTTCCTGTGTTACTGGTTTGACGACAAGGGTTAATCGCGCGCGAGTTATACAAATATATCGAGTGACGGTGAAAGATACACCAGCAAGTATTGCGCAGTCATTTTCTTACTCATTATCCTTCGCGGCCGAGGAGAAATCGAGCGTGCGCAATCGCGCGCCGAATCGAATTGAATCGGAGTATATCAAAGTGATCAAAGTGAGACAGAAGTTTCCTGTTATTCTTCGTAATTTTGCATGCACCGTGACGTATTTGAGAGACATTTGTCAAACTTTTCGCGTATGGGACAAAGAAGGAAACGTGGAAATCAGTTGACCAAGGACGCATTCAGGTTTGTTCGCATGAAATCGCGGTAACATTGTATCACGTAATATCGCGCTATCTCGCGGGATAATGGATCAGTCGCGTGGCGAGGGGTGATGGACAATAGATGGACGCTACGTGTCGCTGTTCAACCGACGGCTCGCGAGAATAGTATGTGGTATACGCGTGTGTCAATCGCGCGAGATCGATTGTTCGAACTTTTCAACAAGTTGTAACGCACCGACTAAATTAATTCTCTCTTTGACGTTTACTCGGTCGAATTGTGCTACTTATGTGTGCGTATATGCTTGAAAGGATCGCGATGAAAACGTATTTTATTGAAACGTTTCGCGGACGCGAAGTTTAACGCGAACGATGCTGCCATTTCGGGCTCTAGTGAATTTTTGCTAGTGACAAAAAAAAAAAGAAGTTCATAAATTATCCAGTTAATTGGATGGTGATCAACAGATCGATTTTGGAGGAGCGTTGTTTGAGTTGACAGCCTTTGAAAACAAGTTGAAAACTTTGGAAACTACTGGAAATTGTGTAACGTGGTTGGACGTGATTGTTGATGCCTCGACTGTTCTAACATTCCCAGAGAAACGATCGACTTTGCAAAGGAACAGGTAAGCGCGCTGTTAACGCCTCGAGAGAATTCTAGGAACTGTGTATAAAGTCTTCGCTATGAGGTGTTCTTCGAGATGTTGTGTATTTCATGATATCGCAAAATGCCCAAGGGAAAATGATTGTTAGCTCCTTTTACTTGGAATTTTGTTGTTTGGATAGATAGGTTTGCTTTATGAGACGAAATTGTTCGATTGGGATTTTTTGTAGTTAGTATTAATCTTCTCCAGGATTGTCGAAAATTATGTATAATTTCTTCGATTTTATCATTTAAGCTATTATCGTATATAAAATATATGAACTTTGACAAATGGTATTAGGTCTATTAGGACTTGATATTTTCATAATATTTCTTTCATTTGTTTGATAGTATAATTGAATGATATCATATCTTTTAACTTCGACTATTAATTTAATTTTTTTTTTCAATTATTTGTTAATCCTTTCATCCTTTCATACTTGTATGTATATACAAGTATTTTTTCTTGTACTTTTTCATTTTACTATAATATAATATATAAATTATATTAATTAGTATATTAATTACAACATTATCTTACAACTATTATAATTTAACTAATAATTTTAACAATTAAAAAACGTAACAAATTTATAAAAATACATTAGTTCGCAATATTTTATTACCGCACTATTCTCTATCGATCAAAACTATTGAAACAAAATTTCAAAATCTATATCGCCGCGAAAATTCGAGCAACATGGAACGAGCAACCGCCTCATTTACCACGTTATAATATACGCATCACGCTTTAACTATGCGCAAAATTCAAGCCAAATTACCACCCTGAATATCGCGTTCGCACCACTTGTTATAAGGGTAGCTCGCCTAAGAACTCTCGTTGTTCGTTCTGTGGTTCGAAATCTACTTAAAACTTTGTATCCTCGAGTGAATGGCCACATAATGGTCGACACAATGGTCGACTAATAAGACGCGCGCAAAACGCGAGTGGAAACAATTGGGGGAGGAGGGATGAAAACGCATAATGCCGAGGCAGATCGGTCGGAAAACGAGAATTTTCACGAATTAGAATCGAGGGGCGACGAACAAGGTTGAAGTGTGACTATTTTTCTTAAAATCCTCTAACAAGATCAGAGGAAAACTTTAACTTACTTGGGAATTATTCGGGATAATCGATGGAAACATCTCCTGGTCGAAACAGAGGGATTTTCGCGATCAGGGATGTTGTTAATTGGGTAAGATCGGGTTGCCGGTCTCGTTTACACAATAAGGTGTCGATCAGTCGGAAACAATCAGCGTTTGAGTAATAACAGAGGGGGTGAGAAGAGGGAAAGAGAGAGAGAGAGAGAGGGAGAGATTCCATTGGAATCACATCAATGGTAGAGGATTGGAGGTGGCGAATTGAATAAGGAAGAATGGCTGTAATTCACATCGGTCTTTTCTGACGTCGCTTCCGCTTTTCTTTTCGCGCTTATTCATTTTTACAGCAGTTGCGTCTGATGCGGCGCAAAAGATGCTCACGACCCAGTTTAAAAGAGTCGACGAGCGGACGATGTAATTATGATTTAACGTGCTATTTTTCGTTTCTTTCCCACTTCTATTTTTTCCCTCCTTTCTCTTCGTTTCTCTTCTTCCGTCTTTTTCTTTTTCTTTCTCACTTCTCCAACGAGGGGAGGGTTGCTCAACGAAAATGGGGAAATGTCTTTTCGAGCGTGACAATGAAACTCGCGACAAAACCTTGTCGTTGTTGCATCCAAACTCGTACTCTCTCTCTCTCTCTCTCTCNTCGCTGCTTGAGCGTTTTTTTATCCATCCTTGTTGGGAGAGGGG